GGAATGCCCTGAAGGATCAGACCATGGCTCTCCTGTGAATGTGCATTTTAAAGTTTGCAGAACTCGGGCTAAAGCCCGAGTTTATGATCTCCTTTTAGAGATAACAGAAACAAGTAATTCTGAGAAAATCTGTATTGCCAGGAAGAAAAAGAAATAAATACAGCACCTTTCAAAAGAAAAAAATTACTCATAGCCCTGGAAAATAATGGTTCAATTTTTCAAAATTAACATAAAAAAGTACAACTCTGGAGAGAATCAACCTAAATAAATACTAGAACACCCTACACAGCAGATACCGATACTGAAAGGACAGTAATAGAGCTCTGGGGAAACTGAGCACACCATTTTCATGCCAAGGAAATTAGCCCTTCTACCATTAGGCTTTACATAGGTTTTGATGTTATACCATGTGTTAATTATTTCCAAATCACAAGTGCAAACACTCACCCTGATTGGAAAATTAGCAGATTTCAAACTCAGGTAATTTCCCCCTAATGAGGAACTTGTTGAACTGAATTTAACAATTAGTTCACACCCTTTGCTGGCTGGGTATGGCAAGGCTACAAGGAGACACAGAAACTCACCTTTTTCAGTAATTTGCAATAAAGGATGAATATAAATTCAAAAGTCATTTTCATGCTATTTCTGACTCCTCCTTTGGTTCTTAAGGCAGTGATTCTCAAAGGATGACACAGGAGGAGATGCTGCCCATACCAAATACTTCTCCCTTGTTTTATAACCTTCCCCCTCTGGGTCAGTTCATTTGGCTGCCTTTTGCTACGTACCAAGCCTCTGCAAACAGGCTTTCACAGCTTAAAAGAGTAAAACTTATGATTTATTGGTCAATACACCCAATGCAGAGGTAGAGCTAACAAGCTAATGTGCTCACCACCCCTGATAAGGCACCCAAGGAGTCACTGCTGGCTGGGCAGCCTTCAGTCAAGAGGGGAAGGGTTGGCTTCTGCTGCTGCTTGCAGAGGCCTGATCATTGACATTGCTAAACTGCCATCCTTGAGCTACTTGGTTTTGTTTCTGTAGGATTTTTTATGTTTTTCGTGTTGGTTTTTCTCTTCAAGAACCCTTGAGCTGCTAATTATCCCTGTGTCAACACTCTCCCCTCCGCCAGCAATCTTACCTTTCTTCTCATGGCTCTGCTCTGCAGAATGTCTTGCGGCGCTTTCTCACAGCTTAGCAGTTCTCCAAGATGTCCGACCCAATTTCAGCCTGTATCAGAATCATGCCTTCGATCCCAGAACGCATCTGTGATCCGATGCCTGAATCTCTCCAGGGGAAACTGACACTTTTCAGCTGCTAAATTGCATTAAAGGAAACAAAAGTAATTTTATCCTGCCATGCGTTTTCTGCATATGCTGAGACCCTGTCTACATAACAGATGCTGGGCAGTCAGGTCTTAAAGAAGGTGGCCTATTTGTAGTCGTGAAGGGAAGAGGCATCCACAAATGAAAGGGAAATTGCCTTTGGACAGTTCTTCTCTCTCCTTAGAGCTGACCAAAAGTGTCCAAAATATTGCCAAAATTTAAGTCTGATTTCTCCCACAAAAATGTAAAAATTATTCAATAAAGTCTTCTTCCTGTTTTTCAGTGCACTTTCTGCAGTAGGGTTTTCTTTTCCTTGTCTGAAGAACAATAAAGAATATTCTGAGACTTCAGGCTGCCTTAGGTATGTCACGAAGCACCTGGGCCTTCAAGTGCTACGCTGGCACACCAACTGCTTGATTATTTGGCAGTAAGTAGCATCAGTATAGGTGTAACAAGCTTTTTTGAAGGTAAAGAAAGAGTAATAAGAATTGAGAACTGGCAAAAAAAGAATATTCTGCAAAAATAAAGTTCTGAGCTCTTCAAATGTGCTACTTTGATTGTCTTTATGTAGAGACATTTTAATAGGAACCTGAATTTTGAGAAATAAAGAATGAAGGGTTGTGGAAAGAGACAGTGCATCTACTAATAAGGCTGCGCAACAATCTGTGGGGAGTTATACTAAAGTGTGACTTAGCAGAGAAAAATAGCCTAAGATATTCTGCCTACTTTCTCTTGCAAGTCAACAATCAAAGGTTTGTTCTTCACACCAATTCCACAACCGACAAAGAGACGCTCTGACCTGTAGCTCTTACTCGAATGAGGTTATGAATGCTGAGAGCAACTAATTTTATTTTTCTGGTGGATGCATTATCTAACCATGATCTAACTCACCTAACCATTATTTAACTCAGACATTCTCAGCTTAATTTGTGATATCTTGCCACATTTAAGAGGCAGCGTTTTGGGCAGCAGGGAGGTGAGACTGGGTAACTTCTGCAGCCTGATCCTAGCTGATTGATACAAAATTCCCCCGTGTGGCTTCGGGCAAGTTCTCTAGATTTCTCTGCCTCCCCTTTGCTAAAACAAAGATGATCTTGCTCACTGAGTCCAGACAACTGTTAGAATTACCTAGTTAACACTTTTAAAGGCATCTAAAGCAGTAAAAAATTCAGTGTGTTACCTAGACCTCTTCCCTGACAAATTGCGTCTTAAAACTAGCAATCCATTTTACCTGGGAGCTAGGGAGGTGCAAGCGGATTCATGAACCGTCCTGAAGGAACACGTGAATGGCTGTCAGTAAAAGCAGGAGCATTCAAACTGTCAGCAGCATCAGACCCTGTTTAAAAGGGCAAGGAAGCCAAGTTGGCAACAGACCTGTTCTAGCATTTTCATTAGCCGTGTAGCAAATGGCTGCTATCTTCCTCTCTGTTACCCGTGAGTCTTCTCCTGGGCTTCTCTACCGCTTACACTAAGTCTAGCTATTCCCTAACTTGTTCAGTTTACCAGTGTTTGTATCCTTATTGTGTTACCTAACTTCCTCCCCTACGCCAGCTCTGGGAACCATGGGATCACAATTCAGCTCTTGTTCCACCTTTTCTTTGTTTGTTTGTTTTCCTAGGCCTTTCTTTGGAAACAGAGGCTGCAGAGAAAGGAGGCTCTGTCGCCAGGCTGCCCTGGGTCTGCAGGCACAAGCCTACACCCTTGTGCCTCCTCCCTGAGAAGCACTCCACATTTTTTTTCTCTTGAGCAGGGAGAATGAGGCAGGGGCAAGCGTGAGGGTGCGGGAAGGGGCAGGGCAATTGGAGGGAGGAGGTAGGGATAGAAAGCTCTATAATCAGCAGAGCACCCTTTTAACACCTGAAACAAATTCTTTGGGTATTAAGTCATGAGGCCTTTGCTGCTGACACAGGTGAAACACAAAGGCATGCCCTTGCATACACGCTTCGCTGCCCCCCGTAGCTAGCCCTACCTAGGAAATGCCAGCTTGCCACTGCGAGGAGGTCTGCTGGGGAACCTCTTCAACGTGCCCATGCAGCAGCCAACAGGAGCCCGCGCCACCGTCTTCGGGAACGGGAGGAATTCCCTTAGTGATGTTTTAAAAAGAATAGCTTGAATGACAGATGGAAAAGAAGAGCACTGAGCAGCTTTTGTTTACCAACCCGCTCCTGCAACACGACAGGGTGCTAGCGTTCATTCTCCCCCCTCGTGCGTCTGCTGTTCGTGTTGCGTGCCCCCGTGGGACGCTCCAGGAGGCTTCGTGGCCACTGTTCGCCTTCACACCCGCACCTGCAGCGCATGGCCACCCAAAACACCTAACTCATCTTTTCCCCTCTGTTCTCACTAATTGCTTCCAAATGCCTAAGCTCTCTTAACCTTTCCTCACACATCTCTGTGATGCTTATCTTTCTATATCATGGTGTTGGTGCCTTTTATCATCACAAAAGACACCAATAAAATTACCTTTACCCTTCCTCACAGGACAATCCCAAGAAAACAGAGCATAAAGGTTATGCGCTCACCTTAACGCTCATTACTTTACAGCAGCCGTATAAAATGAGGTGTGAAATTTATCTTCTAGCTTTCATTAAAAGTTTCAAATGCTTTAATCACAAACACATAATTGAAAGCGAATTTTTTTCACTGACCTGAAAGGGATCCTTATCAGAACTGAGACTGGAGGAATGTCCAGCTTTCTGGTTTGTTTTTCCATACTCAGACTTGCTTAAGGTCCAACCTAGAGGTTGTGGTTTGCAATGTTTGAATTTCAAGAGCACCTGAATGAATGCACTGCAATGCAGGCCACCTGCTGCCCCTGGCTGCTAGCTCCCAGACGCCTACCTAGGCGCCACACCTAGATTAGGCAGGCTGCAGCTATCGGTCTGAGCCAGAGGTGCGGAAGAAATTCTTAATTTCAAAAGCTCTAAAACAAAAAAAAGAAATAAAGAAAAAATAAATTTGTAACAATAAGACCCATACATTCTACGGCATTCACAAAAGCTGTAACTCAGGAAAGCTCTTAGGCACATATTTAAGATAAAGTATGTCCAATATTGCTCTGGAAAGGGTTCTGTGTGACTTCTGGAATGAGACCTGCATGACTGTGCATAGTAAAAAGACACATCTTCACTGCCAAATCTGATGTCTGCTTGACAATCACCACGGTACATTTTATTGCTGAAAAATGTCAGATGAAGATCACAACAAATATTAAAATATCTACCCAAAAGCATAACGGCTAGTGATACTTGTGGCTAAATCAGGCCTGCACTGATGTTTACAAGATATATTTAACCGGAGACATGACTGACAGATACCAGACCAACAGTGACGGGTGAAGACTCTTGCTGTGCCCCAGCAGCTGCCTTCGCTGGACCTACAGAGACCACCACTGCTCCACGCACCCCATCTCTTTTCGCATGCGCTGTCCGTGCTGCGGCGCCTGGCTCTGCTCGTCTGTGCCACAGATCCCACCCACCAAGGCACACCCCTCGCAGAACTGCGACAGAAAACATTTTCCAGTAATGCTCATTTGTCTCATTTGCTCTAGTAATTAAAGTGTTTTCCACAGCAATTCGCAAAGATTCCTTACCAACTCAAAATTTTGTATTTTCCAGTTTTGAAGCTGCTTGAACTCACAGCCAGCCATTCCCAATGCCATTACAAAATTAAGTACTGCTCTGCAAGTCTACAAATGTACCTGTGGCCTAGACTACACTGATACAAAGCAACATTAGGAATATGCTAATAGTCATAATGTTAAAATACATTAAGATTTCCCGTGTTAAGAATATGTTAGCTGATCCCAGTTAATTCTACTGACACACTCTAATGCAGAGTGAAAATTTTCACCTAAATTATTTTTCAAGGGAAAAGTGCAGATTCTCTCAGTTAATGAGTTCGAGCATCTGTATTAATTTCCCAGACTGCCTGCTTAGAAAAAGAAGAAATATAAAAATCATTTCAAATACTTCAAAACAAAAATAATTTTTCTACTATAATGCAATCCTTCAACTGTTAAAGAAAATATTATTTCTGACCTCAATCAGAAAGAAGAAAACATTTTGTTTAATTTAACGCCCTTTGCTACTTCCGGATGGTTCACTAGCTGTTGTCAGAATATTTCATTTTCCACCAACTCCCAAACTGAAAGTATTTTTTTAATTCCTTGTAAACTAAAAATAAAGACCCCCTATCTGCCTAGCTTTGTTCTGATGATAAGCTATATTTGATACAATATAGGTAAAAGATGTTATTAACATATTTTCCAACACGAAACATTTTCCCAGCCTACATACGGAATAAGCATTCTTGCTGCATGGATTGGGTATTTACTTCTAGGGATCAGACTAGATGAGGATAGACAAGTGCTAGTGTACGGCGCTGCACCTCCCGCCCCAACAAACAAAATATTCAAATGCTTACTAAGCACAGTATCATTTTATAAATTATAGTGAGCTAAACCAAAGCAATTAGGTTCATCCAAGAACATCAGGATCATTTGCAAAAAGTAAAAACTGGTTTATGCAAAACAGAGCAATGGGTGTTAATTGAAAAGATCCTGTAACGCTTGACATCCTCCTGAACGCCGGGGCAGGCCAGATTTGGGGGGAAGAAGCTGGGGGGGTAAGGGTTTTTTGAGAGAGATTCCTTTCAATAGCTCTTATCCCCACAGACACCTTTATCACAAGGATCCTAAGTATCATTATTCCCATTTTCCAAGCAGAGAACCAAAGCACCATGTACCATCACAGAGCAGTGGCAATAGACATCTCAGACTCTTAACTCCTACTTTCATTTTCCAGGCCAGTGACAGACAATCTGCCATCCCTAGGAAGAACATCTGCCAGTGACATATTTACAAACAGCAACTGTGTATTTACCAAGTTAGGACGTGAATTGCCAAGGAATGTAAAAAGTCTTGCCCTAAAGAGATCATCATTTATGTAGGTGGAGAGCCCAGACAGGTTTGGGGATTTCAGAACAAACATATGCAAAAGTATTTACTGATCAGAATTAGCTACGGTGAGCTCATGGCATAGAGTGAGAGCTGACAAATTTTAATGGAGGAAGGATGGGAAAATGCTGCGTTAGACATATGACAGTAATCCAGGGTGAAATAAGATTTTTAAAAGTCAAGAGAGATGAACAAGAATGACTCTGGATTAAGTCTAAATCATAGCCATTCTAATAGCTAAAAAATAAAAATAAAATAAAATCACATTGTGAGATAGTTTGGCTACCATCAAGTGCTAAATAACAACATAAAATTACATGGTATGAAATCTTACTAAATTACATGGTATGAAAACCCCACGTATATATCACACCATGTATATATCACTGGAGAATAAACGGGGTTATCTTTCCACTAGTGGTCCTTTCAGTACTACAGCTCACAGGCGTTTATGTCAGAAGTTGTTCCAACATGGACAGTGGCTATTTGTGGTGCAAGAATATACAAGCTCCTGAAGCTGAGCTTCCAGCTCCTGCAGAATAGGAGCAGTGGTGCTTCTAAACCCTTGGCAATCCATCTTCACTAACTGCACCGTTCTGGATAATCTTAGGAGTCTGCTTGTTGTCCCCAGCTTCTTCAGCAGTACACTCCAGAGGCTCTAGGTCATCGTATCTTCTCCGATAGACCACCCTTGAGATTAGGGTTATCAGAAACATTTCCATGATGAGGAGCTGATGGATCATATCTGCCAAAAAAAGGAAGGCAGAGAAAGGCCCCAAAAAGAGGGAAATGACTGTCAGACACAAAGTGAATACCTGGCTTATTAATTTTCATCTGTGCAGAAGGAACAAACTCCACCATCCTGTCCCCATAACGGAGTGTCTCTCACACTCAGCAATAAAATCAGTTACAGAATTACAGTATTGCCCATCAATAAGCACACAATAAGTTATGCATTCAAAATGCAAGAGATTTAAGAGTAATTATGCATGTTGATTTCCTGTCCTCTCATCTCGGATTCCAACTCTTCTCATTATCAAGTTCTTCTCTGCGACTATGACAGCTATAAAGCTTTTGTTACTGTTTTTTAAGTAAAAGCTGAGATTCTCCAAAAGCTACATGATCCCAGGAAATTAGTATTTTGGGAAAACACCAGATACTGCAGTTAGCAATGCTGAACAGGCACCTTTATAAGTAAATGAAGAACATCCTTCCCAAAAGAACTTACAGGCTCCTCTTGCTGAAGAGGAGAGTGGTGGAGCACAGGGAATAACTCTTTGCATGGCCAAGATGTTGATAATAGCTGCCTGCAGGTGGTTCAGAATGAGGATAAACTGCACCAGAAAGAAAAAACAGATGCCTTAGCTACCAGGAAAAGGTTTATAGTTCACACAACAATTCTGCTTTCATAACAGACCCTCTTTTGCCTCCTTCCTCCTTTCTTGCCCTCCCTCTTCTCCTGTCTACCAGCAGGCTACCTGCCATTCTGCAGAATTCATCTTTAGGTCAGGGTGATACAGCTCTGAATGTGACTGCTAAATTAAACCTCTATTTGAAAAGCTTTTCTTCTTAGCCTTTCATTTGGGAGGTGCAATATACGGACTCCCAGCTGGGATTTTAAACAATACTGAGCTCTGAATAATAGGTAACAATGTTTTAAAAACTTCCTGTTAAGCGAACTGATACGCTTACGGTCTCCCTTAGTGGAGGAAGGACTCAAAGACCGTTTTTTCTGTTGTCTCCTCTTTTTGCCACAGCAGGGAGATGTGGTGCTCCCCGAGTATTATGAGACTGGCTTCTTTGCCAGAAGGGATGAAGGACTCTTCGCAGCTTGGCTTCAGCAACAATCACTTACGCATCAAATTACCTGCTATTCGCTGAGCTAGGCCTTCGCTGCCTTGGAGGTACCAAAGTGTCTCTCTGGCTGCTGGCGTAACTGCGTGAGTATAAACCCTCGCATTAATGGAGTTTGCCATGCTAAACCTGGATTCACCCTAATGCAGCTTTGCAGGTGTGACTATCCTGTTTATTGCATTTGTAAGTGCTTAATAATTTACTTAACAGAAACCTTAGTGCACCAGCCTTTCTCTATGTCCTGTTCAAGACAGATGCATATCCAAGGATTCTGCTGTACTTTCTTCATGGTGATGTGGAAGAGGGTGGCCCTGTCCCTAGGCTTTTTCAATCTAACCTATCTAGTTCTATTCCTTACTATTTAGTGATTCCCAGCCAGTATTTTCATTATTATCTAACTCTGAAGTGCAGAATGGCCAAGAAAAACATTGTCAAAACAGAACATTCTGACATGTTGAAACAGCAACAGCCACCCACACAATGCTCCACATCCTCTCCTAGTTTTTAAAAATACACACCAGTATTTTAACATTGTGTTTCGGGATACTGCATCTACAAAGCTTCCTTCAAGCCCCGCAGAAGGTGCTGTTTTGATCTCAGTTGCCTAAAGATGAATGGATTTTACGCGGCTTTCACATCTCCAGCACTCCTGAGTGACTAGAGGTAAATTGGCTCAAGCTGAAACTGAACAGCAGCCAAGGAGAGTGCTTCAAAGGGATGCAGCTTTAATCAGGTAAAAATATGCCTTCGCATAGTGCAATTAATGGGAAAAAAAATAATACAGCTTTTCAACAAACGACCAAGAACCAGAGAGACAGTGTTATATCAGCAGTTAAGAGAAATTCTTATCAGAAATATTAAGCTTCTCACCTGATAAAGAGCAAACTTTGGGATGATCTTCTTACCGATGAGGAGAGTCCTAACTTGTTGAAACATGATTCCAACCGGCCACAGAGCAATAATGGTGAGGACACCAATGAAGCAGCTAATCCATATTGCAGCTCCTTTGGGAGATAACTGAGAAGCAAATCAAACAAGCGTACCTATAAAACTTTACAGTGCGTTTTACTATTTCCAGGAAGAAGCTGTGGACTGGATGATGCAGACGTTAAAATGCTTGTTTCTATCTCCATAAAAGCTGATGGCAGCAGCAGTTGCTGGGGTTTGCATGGGGAAACTGCACGGTACCAACTGGAGTGTTAGCACAGTGCTCTCGCCCAGCAGGCACGGACAGGTAAATCTGTTCAGCCTGGGAAGGTAACAAGTGACACAACCCCTCAATCTGACCCCAGCAACACCCGGGAACGCTCAGCAGCTAGCTCATGAGAGCATATTCAGCATGACACCTCAGAGGGGTCATTTATTTGATACCATGAAACAACAAAAAAATGTATTACTTGTAATCTGAGTTATCCAAGAGGTGCAAAATTATTAGCAGATACAGACTTCTCCATCATCTTGCAGCTTATGTGGTACAAAGCAGAAGTACAGTACTATCTTTTCTACTTTGCACAGATATAAAAATCACCATCATTTGCAGAAAAACATAGAATTAGGCTTCCTGTTTACATGCCAGTACATACACTTGTTTCTTAAAGCTGTACCTTACAAAACACAGGGCAGGTACATCCCACAGAGCAACCTGCAGTCCTGCTATTCTAACCATACAAGCTAGGAAACATACTGGAGCATAATCTGATGCCCAGCCTACCCTGACGCCCAGTTTCTTTCCAAGAGAAGCCAGGAAATGGAGAGTCTGGGGGAAGGCAGAAATTACATGCTTCAGGGTCTCAAAAGAATCCAGTAAGGAGTCACTTAGAAGTGCTCCCAGATTTCACTGTTTAGTTGTAGGCTAAGATACTAACATCACCCCTAAAACCTACGGATTTTGTGGACCATCTCTGATTAAAATATTTACTTACATTGTAAAGGGTGTAATTGCCATTGGTCCAAAGCACTATTGATAAAAACATGAGCACGGGTCGAAGGAAAGCAAACTGAAAGGTGCCCAGCTTCAGCCAAAAGAGGGTTCGCCTGGCCAAAAAAAAAAAATCACATAGGCCAAAATCTTATTAGCAACCTTAGTAACAATTTTTGGATACTGTCAGCTGCAAAACTTTTCCACTCCTGTAGCATGTGGCTAAAATCTGGGGAGGAACAGCTTCAAGATTAGAAAATTTTTCCAATAAATCTTTCCAGTGTTTATTTAGTAAAGTCTCTACAAAACCAGTACTTTTCCTGTTCTGCAGCAATTACATACTAACCAAAGCTGGGCAAAACATGATGTCTTTCTCTGCCGCGAAGCTAACCAGAGAGCCAATAGCAGCATAACCGGTTTCTGAACAATAATGCCACTTGCTCTTGCCTTGCTGCCTTACTATTTCAGTTTTCCGATGAAATCGGGCAATTTAGCCTTCCTCCTCAGATGCTTCCTAGTCCTGTGGCAGATCAAGAAAGGGAATCATACAGACCTAGGTGAAAGGACTGGTAGTTTTTCAATGCATCATGAATACTACCATGTAAGCAGCTGGTTTTGCTCCTCTGTAGTCTAGCAGGAGAAAGGAACTATCTTTTACTTGGCCAACTGCACAAGGCCAGCAGGACAGCTCAGGATTTCCTTACTTCTGTCAGTATAAACAGTGTCCAGAACACAGCCCATACACAGTAACCTGGCCTGACAGCATTAAAAAAGGCACCAGGAAAGGGGCAGATGCACTTGCCAACGGAGGACGTGGAAGCTGACTGACCTGAGCTCTCCTTCAGTCTTCACAGGACAAGCTGTGGCTGCTATGGCTGGCTCATGTTTTAGTCTATCACAGTGTATTTCCCATACTGTTCATGTTGTCTTCGCTGTAGCTCCTTGGGCCCTCGAGGCTGCCGTCGGAGATGCCTCAGCAGACAACAGGCTGCCATTTAGTACGTTACAGGATATAGTCATGAACCAGGAATTACACAAATTGCTGTATTAATATAGCTAATAACCACAGGGTTATGAACAGCAGAAACACATGTGGAAGGGCCTACAAGTGTCCAGCCATTTAGCGCGTGTGCCTTTTCAAGGATTTATTATTCCCAAAGGACTTCAAAGAATAATATGACAAACAGTGCAGTCACTGCTACACCAGGAGTTGTCTTCCTTGTTGACGCAGGTCTATCTTCCTTAACCATCAGACCTCTTCTGCCACATCTCTCCCCACTGTATGGCTTGTTACTTTGCCTCATCAGTCTCCTATACCTTGTCAGCTTTCCCAGGACTGCTTGATAGTATATGGCTTTTTAAAAGAATGAATCCCTCCCTTGGAGTAGCTCCCTGTTTCCCCAGAAGATACCTACAGGAGGAATAAGAGACTGACCTTTCTCTAGTACAGCTTGCCCATATTTTTAAAAAATTGTGCGGTAATGGGAAAAGGCTAGAAGTCAGAAGCAGAGACAGCAGAGGGGTTTCCCAGTGCTAGACACGGAGAAGGAGCCCTAAGCCCTCTGCAGAGCAAAAAGCCTTTTTTAAAAACAGACAGCTGTCCTTCCTCCCAGCAGTAGTAGGCACTATCCAGCTCCTGAAAGGAGTTAATATTCGCTAATGTCATCCTGGGTAAGCTGTCGCTGGACTGATCAATAGGAGGACAGAGCAGAGGATCCTCTCCCAAGCTCTCAGCTACCACAACCTAGACAGAGGGTGACAGACATGGGAAGAAAAACAAATATACTAGTGACACGCTAGATCTATAGCACAGCTCTGTCCCATGGCATTTCTTCAGCTCTGACTGCTGAAATGAGCCTGAACCAATGCCCATGAAAATTAGTAGGTGTCATTTAGAGCCATATCAGCAGTTGCTGATTTTATGTCATTGTATTACATCCATTTTTGGAGGTATATTTTTCAGTCGGTTTACTACCTATTCTTCTTGGTGCCCCCTCCATGTAAATAATTACTGTTATTCCATTAAAATAAAATGACAGAAAAAAAAAAGAGTTTAAATTCTAATACTGAATGAGTCAGTTTAAGGAAAAATTAGTACAACAAAAATTAAACATCACAAACCGCTATGCTGCGTTCTGTTTGCTGCTGTCATTTACCCAGACTATAAAGTCCTTAAGGTCCCTCTGACAATAATGACCAGGCCCTCATAGAAAAGTCTCTGTCTTGCACATTCAGTCCTTCAGCTTTTGCTTTTAATGACAGAAACGTTCTCATACTCTGTGCCAGTAAGAAAGCCCTGGGAAATACGTGAGGCTTCCAGGCTGTGGAGCAGCGTGTAAATGACAGGGTGACGCTGGCCAGAGGAGGAGCCCTGCCAGGCAGTGCTCTAAGGAGCTAGGGTTTCTGTTACAGTATATTGGCTCCTGTAGGTGCAGCTCTCCATCCTCACCCTACTTCTCAAAGGTGCTTTAATACTAAGTTTAGTAGAAGAAAATATTGGCTTTTGCCTCACCAGACAATGCCATTTCGTTGAGATCAAAGCTTTCCAGGAATTGCATCTATTTTTTGTTCTAAAAATTATTTGAATCTGAAGTAGTTTTAAAGTCAAAATCAGAATGAAACATTTCAATTTCGTTGAAGTAAGAGAAATTTTCTTTCAAGACAGCCTCAATTTGACAATTCTGCTTGTGAAAAATACCCAATTTGGAGACATTCGTTCCCTTCTGGAATGAAAAGAAACCGAAATCTCAATTCTTAGGTTTTCTAGAGTAGAAATCCCTCCTCCCTCACACCATTGCTTACTGTAGAAATGGTTTCTTGAAAGAGAATGGGATTAGTTGGGGAGATACGACAGTGCTCAACATTACTACAAGTGGGAACACTGCACTGGGTTAAACTGAGAGAGCTCATGCTCTCGACTCTTACGCGAAATTCTGCATTATAAAACCAAAATAAATTAGTGGTGGTGTACAGCCCCAAAGTGACGGCACTGTTTAAAAGAGACGGCTTGAGACTGACTTTCGGGAAGCAGGGAGGCCCTTTGCTGTAAGCCTGGCCTTGCCAAGTTGGCTGAATTCCAGCAGCCGTTTTCCAGCTGGGATATCTTAAAGGGCAACTCACCTAGTGATGGGCACACGAGGGAGGCAAAGGCAGCAGCAGCAGCAGGGACCGGTGCTGATCTTGAAGCGATCATTTTCAAACCGCCTGAGGAGCAGCTTTTGACCTCCGCATTCTTTAATCATCATCATCAGGAACTTGTGGATAACTATGGCAAAAAATCTAGGAGAGGAAGAAAATGCCAGCTTGAACTTGCCTGTGCGTCTCCGGCATGCCAGTGCTGCCTTCTGTCCAGGGTTTTTACAGCTTGCACTGCGCAATCAACAGAAATTCTAGCACTAGCTGTGAAAAACCTTCAGCTTTCCATCACCTTGGAGGACCAGAACTGCCCTAACATCACCGAAAGAGGAATAAGCTGAGCCACAGAATAGCTGTGGAATTTCACAAAGCTGCACTGGTGGCTGGTGGCAGAGTCAGTATTAAAGCACAGGTTTTTCTGGCCCAAGTCGTTATGGACATACTTTTCTATCTGTTACCTAGTCCTGACTGGTCCAAACTTGTCCTGAGTCCTATTCGTGCTTTAAAAAAAAAACACCGACAACCAACAACAACAAACATGGCTAGGTTCATATATATATAGCTATCACTGTATGTGCTGCCCCAGTCAGGGTGCGGTTCCTCTGCAACCAAAGCTGATCCAAGCACTGGCTGCTGCAACCCCACCTCTCCCCCTCCTGCACCAGCTGCGCATTCTCAACCCATCCCAGGAACTACAGATTGTACAACCGCCCTTTCCTCCCTTTCCCAAATGGATTTAGGGAACTGATTCACTGAAATCCAACCCCACCAAATAAAAGAGGTCCTCTTCAGCTGCACTGCCTCCTTGAAGGAGTTTGTGGTGCAGCTGGAGACTGTGAGTGGTAGTGGATGCAAGGGAAGGGACCGGAACCTGCAGCTTGGGCAAGGGAGGAGGGGGGATTCAGATAGGCTTAAAGCACCATAGGACTGGATCCTTGGAAGTTTCTGGTAATCTGCACTACCTGCGCAAATTGCTGCATGCTCACCGTGTTCCCTGCTACTGTGTTTTCCCTCCTTTTTCACTCTACTCTCTTAGTAAATGCAATGCGGCAAGGGGTGAGGCTGTTCCTGAGAGTCTGTGATACTGTCCTGCAGTGGGTTCCAGAATCATCCCAAAATCCATTGTGGAGTGCCCAAGGCCACGGCGTCCCCCCACCTGGCTCTGCCTACCAGGGCTGCGCCATCACCTCCAGAAAGCAAGGACCACATTTCTCCATTCTTCTCTGTGCACGTCAGAGCTGTCATGCTCGTACAGAAAGCGCTTTTATCAGGACAACTGTGGAACATTTTTACATTGATATACTCATCGGAGGTTCGCTTGCCACCATTAATAATAGACCTCCATGGCTCATCATTAGTAAAAGCGCAGAGAAGTCACAGGTCAGAGTCTCATTCCACATGACATGCAGAGAGAGGAAAGAAAGAGTACTGCTTCAAAGCTACTGTCAATCCGAGGGATCAATTACATGCAAGTCACAGATCTTTCATACTGAGGTTCCCACACTAGGGGACTGTAGCACTGGGAACTGCTTCAGCGTTTTCCACCTCCCAGAAAAGAGATGCCAAGACATTTCAACTCAAACCAAAAATTACTAAATTGTTAAATTTACAAAATGACTGTGTTTACCAAGAGCAGCAGATGTTTAAAGGGAAGAAATTCAGGGTTTGGGGCAACGTCTAGAAAAAAGGAGAATACTCACACTGCTGCTGTGAAATCTGTAAACATTGTTGAGCGAGGAATCCACATGCCAACGCATGCAGTAGTAGCGATCACCTACAGAGAAAGGGAGGAGGGTTGTAGAAGGGCAGAGATAAAGCAGGTTCATGGGGATTTTCAGGGAAACCCTATTTTCAACATTCAATTTTATCTCTTTTCCATGATAACTTACCGGAGCTGCAGCATTAATCCAAATTATGATCGATCTTTTGGAGGAGGGGATTTTCCTGTAGATGTAGACCGCTTCCTCTATAAACACCAGATTGCCAATTAGCGTCATCAGGGTCAAGACTGCAAAGAGAAATCTCCCTGTTAGGTCAAGGCCTGCAGAGAGAGAAAAGAAAACAGACAGTTCTGATTTATTTCATAAGCATTCCAAACATTTAATGTAAAGATACCATCTCTGAGGGGCTTCTTAGTGAGACTTGCACTCATCCTTAGCTACACAGATAGACCACTGACTCCACAGGATGATTCAAATACTTAAGTTCATGACTAAATCTTTCCAGGATCCACAGACAGCATATGGGAAGAATATGGCTCCGTGTTCTCAAAGCATTATGCAAAAGTCCCCTTCAGAAAGGTGGAGTTCCAGGACAAATGTCCTTCCATGAATGTAAATACGTAACAGAATTTAAATAAATACATAATATAAATAAATACCGTAAATACATATTCTGGGAACTCTTCCAGGCAGACTACAAGCAAAAATGTATTTACTCAGTATTAGTTCTTTGCTTCCATTGTATGTTCATAGGCATCTTTGTGCATAACTTCCTTAGGCATGCAAACTTTTTAGAGGCTTGGTGGAAGTTTGTGGGGCACACGAACAACGTAAGGATAAGCCCCTGATATATCTAGCCTGAGATAAAACTTGATGCCTTCACCAAATTCTTTTTTACTTCTCCCTTGAAGCTGGCTATGGATATCAACATTTACTGACAGCTGATGGGTTTTATGTCTCCGTTGACACTGGGTATGGATATCAACTTTTACCCACGGCTGATGGTTGGGGTGTATTTTCTGCCAAGAAAGGTGCTTCCGGAGACAGAAGAAAGCACTGCAGAGGAGTTATGCTTAATTTGGGGGAAGTTCATGCTCATCACCGGTACTCACTCCCGCTGTGGCTGCAGCCTACCTAAAGGCACACCGAGCAGTGCCTGCAAAGGGGAGCCTCTGCCCCAGCTTCCTTACCCTACCCTGCTTCAAAAAACCCCACCGCTTCCAGACTTGGCCGCAGGCGGAGCGGTCCCACACCTCAGTGGCCACCTCCCCACCTCAGATCTCACCACGGGGGAGCCCGAGACCAGGCGCGGGGCTCGGCAGGT